GGATACTGAATCTACAGTCAGTTGGAGCTACTTTTATTCCTACACTACACTAAATCCTCATGCATGTTGGTTTTTTGACTGTATTTATGGTGTATATACTGGCAATTTTCACAGTTTTCTTATCTCCATGTTTTAGAAATTAGGACAATTTTGTGAGGAAGTGAGCTGAAGTTTTAAGTGCCTTGCTAACCCCCATTTTCCTTCCATGGCCTCTTAACTTCAACATGCTTTGGATTTGGGTCTGGGTAATTGTTGGTTTTATGGGGACTGTTGTCTATGTGCTGTAGAGGTCAGTGTCACTATGCCCCTGGAAGCTAGAGGTATTTTCCCTACTTGTGAGAGCAAAAGCGTCTCCAGAGGGATTACTCCTTGGCTGAGAACAACTGGTTTGGGACAGTCTGAGAGTTTTTTGTTGTTCTTCTTATTCATTTTGTTTGTTTTGTGTTTTTGGTCATTGTGGGGTTTGAACTCTGGGTCTAAGCTCTGTCCCTCAGCTCTTCAGCTCTAACATTCTACCACTTGAGCCACAGTGCCACTTCCAGTTTTCTGGTGGTTTATTGGAGATCAGAGTCTCACAGACTTTCTGCCTGGGCTGGCTTTGAACTGTGATCCATAGATCTCAGCCTCCTGAATAGTTAGGATTACAAGTGTGAGTCACCAGCGGCTACTCATTGGGTTTGAACCCAGGGCCTGGAACTTGCTAGACAAGCACTTTCTCACCTGAGTCACAACCAAAGCCCTTTTTCTCTTGTTACTTTCAGATAAGCTCTTGTGATTCAGCCTGGTGAGACCTCGATCCTCCTACCTCCAACTCTTGCATTTCCAACATTACAGGTGAGTATCACCACATCTGGTGCAAAGAATGGTTTTGAGGGAAACTGAGTCGTTGATGTGATTATAAGCAAATGAAGAAATCCCTATTGAACACTCACTATGAGCAAAAATTCAACACAAATCCAAGCATACCAGGGAGACATTCCTTTCCTCATAGGAGATACATATGAGCAAATAAACCACATGAGATTGGGATATAGCAGTAATCAGAAGGCGAAGGCAGTTACTTATGCCAGAAAGAAGGCATCAGAGGCACAAAGAAAGGAGAGAGGTTGGAGTTGGACTTTGATGAAGGGGTAGGAGACACTCAAGTCCTTTTGCAAGACTTCCATATGAGGAACCATTGTGAGTAAAGGCTGGACCCCAGCTGGGTGTGGTGGCTCATGCTTGTAATCCTGTGTGCAGGAGGCTGAGATCTAAGGATTATGTGTGGAAGCCCTTTTGGGTGTGGTGGCTCATGCTTGTAATCCTGTATGCAGGAGGCTGAAATCTGAGGATTATGGGTAGAAGCCATCTTGGGCAGACAAGTCCAAGAGATTTTTTTAATCTCCAGTAAACTCAATAAAAAGCTAGAAGTGGAGCTAAGGCTTAAGTGGTTGAACCCCAACCATGAGTTAAAAAGCCAAATGAGGGTGGGTGGCCCTGTATTCAAGCCCAGTGCTGGGCACATATGCACAGAAAACATGCACATTCTGGCCTGTCTTAGACCATGCTTCTTGTTCAAACATAATTGTTAATAATCTTTTGAGGGCTGGGAAGGTGGCTCAGTGGTAGAGTGCTTGCCTGGCATGCAGGAGGCCCTGGGTTCAATTCCTCAGCACCACATAAGCCAAAAATGCCAGAAGTAGTGTTGGGGCTCAAGTGATAGAGCATTAGCCTTGAGCTGAATTGCTGAGGGACAGCACCCAAGCCCAGAGTTCAGGCCCCACGACTGACAAAAAAATAATAATAATTTTTTGATCTCTAAAATGCCTTCATTTGAACAATTCATTTTCGGGTCATTCTCTTACAGTCCTGGGGACTTAAAAGTTCATGGCAACTACTGAGTTTGAGGTACTGGGATCCCTCTTGTCTTGTGTGAGAGTAGTTTTAGGAGTGGGAAAGGATGTAGAGGAGGGCTAGAGATAGCCCAGGGCCTCTCTGCGACTGGGTGGTCTCCATCACCCAAGGTGAACTTAACCCTGGACAACATAAGAGCCAAGTAGAAGTACCCAAGCAGGAGGGTGTTAGGAAGAGAATGAATGAGAAACCTTTTCAGACACTTGAGAAGTTCCAGTCTTCCAAGTGGTGTGTGTACTTTGTCTAAGGAAGTAAAGTACCAATGTAGGCCAATCAAATGCTCTTAGGAATTTGAGTTGGAAAGACAGCCAGTCAGGGTGAGTATGTCCCTGGAGCTGCAGAAGGTGCCTACTCAGGAACTGGAATATGTGTTTATTTGGGGGAAACCATAGGATAGAAATGGGGAGAAAAATATTTCTTGTGGGTCGACTAGATTTCCAGTCATGGGTCTTGAACTCAGGTCCTAGGCACTGTCCCTGAGCTTTTTTTTGCTCAAGGCTAGCACTGTACCACTTTGAGTGATAGCTCTACTTCTGGTTTTGTGGTTTTCTGGTGATTCATTGAGGATAAGAGTCTCAGCCCAGGCTGGCTTCAAACCCTGAGTCTCAGATCTTAGCCTCCTGAGTAGCTATGTGAGCCAGCTAGATGTCCAGTCTTTACTCTGCCCCTTCTTCAAGTGTGACCACCAGTATGTGAGATGTTTTGAATCCCTTCAATAAGTACTGTTTGTTTGGTTTTTGCTTAAGTTTGCATTCTGTTATTTGAAGTGGAGTCCCACTGAGATAGTGTGTTATAGTTTGGTCTTTTCCTCTGCCACATCTGTTCTAAGTGTACATACGTGATGTATCAGATCTTTGACACTGATATTAAAGCATTGAAAGTGCTGTGGTAGAAATCAGTATAGGAGGCAAAGACAGGAGCAACCCTTCTTTCATGTGGTGATGGTGCGTGAGGGGTGGTGCAGAGTGGGTAGCAGGTGCTGATATATGAGGAAGGACCAGTTGACATTGGGCACTGTGGGATAACTGCAGGGAATATAGGAGACGCATTCAGGTTTAGTTCTGTTCACTATGTCAGGCTTTGCTGGGGAGGGGATGGTACTGGATAAGGAAAATCCCTGCAGGTGACTTGGCTTACCTTGGCTGTCTAAGGCAGTCTGAGGGCTGATGGAAAGACTTGCTTCAAAGAAGCCTCAGCTCTGGATTCGTGGCCTTTGCAGTGACCTGTGCAGGTCCACCCAGCCTGTCTTTGTGATCTGTCTTATGATTAGAAACTTGAATCATATCTCCTCCACCTCTTGCCCAGACTTGTGTTGGGCCGACTAACTGGGCAGAAGCTCTGCCAAGTTGGGAAGTCAAAAGAGAGTGACCTGAGACAGTCACCTTGCCTAAAGTGGCCTGGGATATTGACCCTACTTCCGCAGCTAAGACCCCAAATGCTGTGTACCAGGGGCAGGTGCTGTGTTGACACATGGAGACATAGCTTGTGCCTGACAGCTTTCCCTGCTCTCTGAAAGTGTGGCTGAGATTCCTGTTCTCTGTCAACTCCCAGTGAGGACTCAACGAACTTACTCACTGGCATGGGTCTCCAGGACACAGCAGCAGCTATCAGTGGGGAGACTCGTCACTGCAGTGCTAGTCCTTGAGCAAGATGCCTCCCAGCTCCTGCAGGTCAGAGGGAAGGGAGCAAGAACCCAGCTTGCTTTTTCCTTATTCCATGGTAGAAGTTAAAGTGGCCAGTACAGAGTGGGTACAGATGATGCACATTGCAGTCCTGTTTGCTGTCTGTCCATAGCAGGTCCAGTCAGACTCCTGATGGGTATAGCAGGTGATCAGAGTTGAGGAAGAGATAACATAGGAGCAGCTTCCAGCAGACATGCTCCTCACCAGCCCCAGCCCCCTGGGAATCTCTCTCTGTCATGTACCTGTGTGACCATCCTTGTAGAGAGACAATTCAGTATTCCTGGCTGGGCAATTGGCTGATGGACCAGCCTGTAGAGGGTGTACCACAGTGTACTGTGGGAGGCCCAGGGATAGCATTCCAACCCACCCCCCACTTGTGACTCCTGACCAGGACATGGCTTAAGCAAGATCCTGTGGGAACCAGTTAGCCAAGTACCTTGACCAATCTGACAATCCTGATCAGACCACTCTCTCTGCCATAGACCCCACCTTGCTGCTGGACTTAGAGTCATCCTGGGAGGTACAAAAGACCAATCCTGGGCTGGGAAGGTGGCTCAGTGGTAGAGCGCTTGCCTTGCATGGGTTCGATTCCTCAGCACCACATAAGCAGAAAAAGCTGGAAATGGCGCTATAGCTCAAGTGATAGAGTGCCAGCCTTGAGCTGAAGAGCTGAGGGACAGCACCCAGGCCCAGAGTTCAGGCCCCACAACTGGCAAAAAAAAAAGACCAATCCTCAGGAACACACTCAGATACAATGAGATCAAGTAGGGCTTTTAGAGTATGAGTGATGGGAAGCAGACAGAGGCCACAAGATGGAGTAGCAATGGGAAGAGTAGAGTCCCAAAGTGATGGACTCCTGGAGGTGGGAAGAGGCTCAAGAGTAGCTGGGCATTGTGTTAGGTCAAGTTCTGCAGACAGTTGTAGCACAGGAACACAGTGATTGCTCTGTATGTGTGTGTGTGCACACGCGTGTGCGTGCACACGCGCATGCATGCATACCAATACCAGGGCTTGAACTTGGCAATGACAGGGGTGGGGGAGAATGAGACAAAGAGGAGAGGTGACATGGTCCCAAAAGCACTGTCCCCATTACCTGACTTATGGAATTGTAAACCCCTCTATATAACTCCTTATAATAACATTAAGAAAGGCAAGAAGCACATAATATAATTTAAGAGTGCTGTGATAACAATCATAATAAAAAGAAAAGCTGAGTATCTGCTCTGAGTAATATTTTGTGTGGTAGGAAATCCTTTGGCTCCTTTCTTGATTTGATGTGTGAAATCCTTGTGTGCTCATAGTATCAGTCTGTGAGTATGGTTTTTTTGTACTTGAAAATTTCTGGCTGGACCAATTGGCTTTAAGGGCTTCAGGATTTTCTCTGGTGGTTTTTCCTTTTTTTGGATGCTGAAACCTCCTTGATACCAAACCTCTCTGACAATGCCAGGTTTTCTTGTCATACGTCTTCTCATCTGATAGGCTCTCAGCTGTTGAATGCCTAGGTCGCAGAGTTTTCTCTGCAGAGGTTGTCTTTTGCGTAGTGATGCGCTGAGTCTGTTCCATGTCTCAGCAAGTCTGTCCTCATGGGTTTTCTCGGGCTGTGAGGCTTGTCTGTTGGTAGGCGGTGTCTCCTCTGCATGGGCAGCATTGGTTGTAGGTAATTGGTTCCTCATCTTCAGCTTTTCACAAATCTCCAGGTATTCTTTATAGTCTGTAATTGGTTTCATGAACTGTAAGGTAGACTCGTATCTCCTATCTTCTATGGTTGTGTAAAACCCTCGCTGTGGGTCAGTTTCCTCAGAGCATGAGAGTAAATACTTAAGAAAGGATGTGTGACCACCCTTTCCACACAAGTGTTGCTTGTGTAGTGGCTTACTGTTGTGTTGCAGCCTTTGGTGAGCGATGTGAAGTTCTCTTTGCAAAATTCGCATCTTGCTTGGTGCCTCCATTGGCTTCCCCTTGAAGTTAAATTCCAATTTTGGCATTCTTTCTGGTACGGAGACAAGTTTACTTTGCTCGGTATTAGGTGTCTGTAGCTGCAGTGTGGGCCAATGGGGAAGTGTCATGTCCTTGGCCTTCCCATGTTCACCTGGTTGTGGGTGTTGTTGATCCAAGGTGCCTGCTAAGACCTGAGAACTGGTGTGAGGCATTTGGGGTTCCCTCTCCCTTTGTGTTAGTTTGGGAAGTGCTTGGGGTGTTTCCGCTGGGGGGCGGTAATGAGAGGCCCCCAGTAAGGCCCTCTGCCTCTTAAATGCCTCTCGGTTATTCCTGGCAAATACTATGATGGTGATGAAGCCATCATCAACTGGTTTAGCATCTTTAGTGGTCTTATTCATCCTGGCAACCAAAAGTCTCAAGGCTGGGCCCCCTGCTGCTAGGGACGTGGTGGTGGACTGTCCATTGCTAGTGGCATCTTGGGATGCCTTGTCCCAGGCACCTAGAAGTGGGGTAGGTTGTTCCAGTATTTGGGGGGTGCTTGAGGTGGCCTTGTCTCCGTTAGTGTCTTGTATGGTTGAATTGGTCCCAGAAGTAGGGCTTTCAACAGCTGTGGCTTCAGCTGATTGGGGACTCTTAATTTCTTGCTTGCTGTTGCTGAGCGAGGTATCCATGTGCTGTTTCCTCTCTTCATTATTTGAAGCATGGTACTTAGCTTTGAATTCCTCATAGTTGTTCATGAATGGGAAGCTCTTGATTTTTAACCTGTTCTTGGTATTGGATATAGCCTGGTTTGGTTTGGCTTTGTCTGCTGTGTACTTACCCCTGGCAGTAGGAGGTTTGGCAGCTTTTGTGGGCCCTAAGTTGGATGTTTCTGTCTTGGTGACATTTGTTTTATTGGACGTGTCTGGTATTTTGGGTCTTAGTTTGACTGGCCAGGTCTTGCTCATTTGTGGTTTAGTGGGACACAAGGTCTTGGTGGCGTGAGGTCTTGTGGTGTGCAAGGTCTTGCTGGCATCTGGTTTTTTTTGAAGCAATGTCTTGGCGTCAGGTTTTGGGAGGTGTGGAGTCTTAGAGATCTCTGCCCTTTTCAGATGCAGGTTTTTTGGGACCTTGGTTTTTTGGAAGTTCAGAATTTTGGGGGGGACTTTAATGGGAGCCAGCATTTTGGAGTCCCTTGCTTTTATGGGGGGTAGAGTTTTGGAGACCTTGGCTTTTGTGGGTATGGATTCTAGTGATTTTGATGTGGTGACCTTGGAGGACACCTTGTCCTTGCATGGTTTATTTTCTTTTTCTCGTGTATTTTCCTCATCAGCCATATCTCCAGTGACCTGGTCTTCACCTGACACAGCACTGGAGGTGAGTTGCACATTCTCATTACTGGAGGCAGCCCTGTGTAATGTAGCTGGGTCACCATCAGATTTGACCATGGCAGCCTGGATTCCCAGAGTTGGGCTCTCAACTGAGGGATTAAGTTCTGAAGCTGAGCTCCTCAGGGGTTGGCTGCTTCTTTGGGGTCTGAGGGTCACTTGCCCTTTCCTGTTGGCAGAAGTGTTTCTGAGGAGTCTAATGTCTGTTTCAGACTTTGACTTGACAGCCTTGGGCTTGGCATCTTGGCCCCCAGGGATGTGAGGTTTAAAGTTTACAATAATGGTGTTGTTGGTCATGGAGGCAGCTCTGTGCACATTTCCCTCCTTGAGGAATGTGATTCCAGATCCCTGTTTGGGGGCTTCCACCTTGACTGTGTGAGGGCATGAAATGATGGAGTGGTTGCTATTATTGAGGGTGAAGAGAGGTTTGTGCAGATGGTTTCCCTTCATGTCAGAGCCAAGATCCCCCATGGATGACCTGGGGACACTGCTATTCACTGGTTGAGGGTTTGTGGCACGAATGTCTTCGTCCATCCAGAAAGGTCTGGGCAGAAGACTCTCAGTCTTGTCATAGAGATAAATCTCAATTGGGGGGTCTCGGGTGGGTCTGACCTCAACTATTTGGGGGTACCTTAGCTTCCTCAACCTGCGGTTGATGGGCCATGAATGTTTAAGTAAGATTCCTACTTCCATGTTAAATATAGGAGACCCAGTAGCTGGAGGCTTGGGGACTCTGGCCTCCTCTTGAGGGCCCACATTCCCCAAGTACTTGTCATTGCTGGGTCCCATAGGGGTGGTGAGGAGGTTGGTTTCCGGAAGAGCAATAGATGTTTCCCCTGAAGATGGCTGGTTAGTGGCTTGGTCTTCTGGTCTCTGCTCTTTGGGCCTCATTGTCCTGCCCCTCTCTCTTCTTGGGGGGCCAGAGCTTGTTCTTCTCCTTGAGTGCTTTATCAGATGTCCTCTATCAATGTCTCATATATATTAGAATATGAATTCCAAATGATCGGCTGCTTGATCCTAGATTAGGAGCTGTGGTATGTGCCTTGGCTCTCTCCCTAGAACTCCAAGCAAAGTGAACTCTTTGAACAATCAAGGTCTAGAATGTGTCAGTCAGATGGTGACTCTCTAGCTAAGAAGTTCATCTATGATACATGGGGCTAAGCCCTGTGTTCCTTGGTAGTTTTTCCTTGGCAGAGCGATATCCAGTGGAACTGATGATTTCTAAGGCATGGGGATTAGCGGTACAGAAGAGACAAAAGGCCCAGAGAAATTGGAGTGTTGGCTGTCTTTGGGCATTTAGTGGCTCCAGACTTTGGGAGGCTTGTCATCAAGTCCACTTCTACCTTGCAGATTGCTTCAGCTTCTGGCCTAGGTCAGGTACAGTTGTGTTCTGCACCCTCAGTGCAAGGTACACCTGAGCATGTTGCACAAAAGTGACTGAGACATATGATGAACTCTAGAGTAGATTGCAGGGCAAGCACACAGGTTTTTCAGGAAGAATTGCCAAAGCAACATGTCTTATGTGCTTGCCATGTTGTAAGTACTGCGTGTTAAGTTAATAAAGTTCCTACTTTCTTTAAGTGAATGTTTTAGTGAAGGAGACAATCCGTGTACATAGATATGGAAAGTATAAAGAGGCCATGAGGATCAGGAAAGAATCTATAAGATCCATGTTCATGTGAGCTGTCTTCTGGCTGTGCCAACCTGAGATAAATAACTGAAGGCAAGAAAAGTCCGATTTAGGCCCCCAGTGTCTGGTGGTGTGTTTCTGTTCATGACCCTAGAGAGTATGTGACAGGACAGCAGCTCACAGGGTGGCAGCCTGGAAGCAGAGAGACAAAATGAGCGTGCCCATGGCAAATCCTTCCTAATCTTAGCAATGATATTTGTTGGCAGAGTGAATGTGACTGGAGGAAAATATTTTTTATATGGGTAAGGCCAGATGGGTGGGGCATGCAGGGTGTGTGTGTGTGTGTGTGTGTGTGTGTGTGTGTGTGTGTGTGTGTGTATGAGAGGGAAATGCAGGTGTGAGAAACTGGAAAAGGACTTGCAGGAGTTGGTGTGGCTGTACGGGCCGAGCTCCTAGATATAGGAGTGCCTGGAGGTGTGGAGCAGGCAGGGATCCAGAGGCTCCATAGGAGGGAGGGGTCATGGTTTGGAGAGGCTGGAAGGGAAGAGCTTAAAGAGTGGGCCAGGCAGGTGCAGGGGGGGGGGAGAGGGATGGGGGATGCATGGTGGGTGTGGACAAGGGGAGGAGATTTTAGTGTTGGGAGGTTGGAGGATTTGAGCTAAGGGGGAGTCGTCGCCTGTGGAGGGAATGCCCTTGCATCTGAGGTCATTCCGTGAAGGACAGAACTTTCTCCTTAGAATAGAGGATGTATTTTAGAACCAGCTTTGGGGACTCAGAAGAAGCTGCCTGGTACTTCCATCAGAAAAGAGGACTGGGAATGTGGCTCAGTGGTAGAATGCTTGCCTAGCAAACATGAAGCCCTGGGTTTGATTCCTCAGTACCACATACACAGAAAAGGCCAGGAGCGGCACTGTGACTCAAGTGGTAGAGTGCTAGCTTTGAGCAAAAGAGGCTCAGGGACAGTGCCCTAGGTCCTGAGTTCAAGCTCCAGGACTGGCAAAAAAAAAGAAAGAAAAGAAAAGCCAAGTTCTTGCCAAGACAACAGAGGATGCTGGGATGGAGCTGCCGGTGGCTCCAAGGGTCCAGTAGAAAGGACTATGAGTTAGGACTGGGGAAAGCCTTAGGACTGAGGGATGGATAGTTGGCAACTCCCCTGTTAGCTGAGAGGAAAGAGCCTGCCTTCTTTCTGGAAGCAGTTTGGAGGTTCGCTGAAGGCCCTGAGGCGACCTTCATATCTTTGTCTTGTGGCTGGTTACCTGAGTCAAAGCAGGTTTCTGTGTTTTTTTGGTGTGTGTGTGTGTGTGTGTGTGTGTGTGTGTGTGTGTGCGTGCTTGCATGCGTGTGTGTAGGCACGCCTGTGCTAGGTCCATACAGGGACTTGATCTCAGGGCCTCATGCTTTCCCTTGTTTTTTCCACTCAAGGCTGGCACTCTACCCCTTGAGGCACACCTCCAGATTTCTGGTAGTTTCTTGGAGATTTGACTCTCTTGTCTGCCTAGGCTAGCTTTGAACTAGATCCTCAAATCACAACCTGCTAAGTAGCTAGTATTACAGGTAAAGTACCAGTATCTCAATAGCCAGTAACTCTTAAAGCAATGGAGAATTAGTAGGAATGGACCTCCAAAAGACATTCTATTACCTTGGGACCCAGTAGAGGCTTTCTACTCAACGTATGGGTAGTCCTGACTATTTTCCTCCCGGGTTTCTAGATAATAGAAGCACAGACAGGAAGACCCTATGGCATTCTCTCCCTTCCGTGTCTTTCTGAAAGGCTGTGGTGGCCAACTCTGGGGCTTCAAAGTCTGCAGTGAATGAACCTTTTTCTTAGAGAGTACAGAGTTGCACTGGGAGTCACACAGGGTTTCCTTCTGTGCCTTAAATGAAGCATCATTTTTTTCTCATGAAAGTTTTACATCTTTGATCTGTTTAATTTTTTTTCTTTAGGAAATAAAATGTGGCACATCTTCCCTCCCAAAACAGAGAATCATTGTTTTTTTTTTTTGCAAGAAGCTACCTGCGGGCTGGGAAGGTGGCTCAGTGGTAGAGCGCTTGCCTTGCATGCCTGAGGCCCTGGGTTCGATTCCTCAGCACCACATAAGCAAAAAGAAAAAA